CTAGTAACAAGTGCATCGCTACTAGGAGCAAGAAGCTATTAGGAACATTTCTGGACTTGGCCCAGTCACGCCCAAGGCGTTCGGCGGCCCAGCCGGGCCCATCACCGACGGCTCAGCCGCGGGGGGCGGAGCGAGGCTGAAACCTGCCGGGCGATGCACGTACCCCGCGGTTGGGATCGTTTGGGTTTTGGACACCGTTCAAAGAGATGAAAAGAGATGAACCAAAACAGAAAAAGTACTGAATCCGAAACGACTTCAGCTTACGAATCGCCCTATATTATATTACATGACATTTAAACACCTCCGACCCTTTGCAGTGCTTTTCGTACATGCACTACTCACATCATGGATCTATACTATGGTCTATACATGTAATGTAATTATTCCAATATCTACAATGTAATTATTCCAATATCAACAAACATGTGCTGAAACTGAGGATGCGCCGACGCACCTGAGGCTGCCTTCAGCCCAGCATCAGCGCGCCGCTTTTGCCTCCTTCTGGCCGAGCCTTCACTGGATTCCTGCGACAGCTGGTCACCCTCCCAGTTTGCACACTTTGACACCTCCGGCTACCGGGTTACCGAAGACCGAATCGTTCTTGGTCTCAAACTCGACAAAAAAAATGCCATCACCGGCCAAAATGACCAAGCTTCCCAGGTCTGTCCCCCACCTCATCACTGTAGCTCTCCTGTTGCCTGAGAAGCAAAACCAAAGTAAGATGCCGAGAATACTGGTAGTGCCAAGTAAGTGCATTGTCAACATACCCCAAAATTATCACTTCAGAACATGAGGACATTTTGTGGAACACTGTTGTCACACAGCTAGGATTTTCTGTTCCAGATCCTCATTGTTCTTCCGGCCTTTCCTTCTCCTTGACTTTTGCTTTGCTCTTGCCTTGGTGATCTAGCATGTCGAAAAACAAACCATGGTGTCAGGACCACTTGCTTTGGTGACAAGCCTACCTCTCCATCGGCCTTCTTGAGGCGGAACAAGGCCATTGGGAGGGTCGGAACATATCCAGTGACGGGGCGGAACCCTCACGACTATATAAATTCCACTGATGGAGCACGAAGAACATCCGTGGTTTTTAACCATATTAAACCATACGTCACAACAGCACCTTACAAACAGTAGTGCAAAGTCTTATGTCGATCTAAAGGCCCATCATGAAGCTCGGAACATAGAAATTAACAATAACAACTGTACTGTACTGAATATTGGCCCAAAAGCCTTTCTCCTTCTCCTTTCCATCCTTTGCCTATTGATGGAAGGCAAGCAAAAGCCAATGAGTCAGCGACGACTCCACAGCAATCACATGCAAATCATTGCTGCAACACCTAAACAAGCTACGAAAATGTTCCGACACCTTGGCTTTCTCAGCTTTCTCCACCCTCTCTTCCTCCTTACCTCAATACCAGCTCCAGCAGCTGTGGCTGCGATTCGAGTTGTGATCACACCCAGTAATTACGGTGGATTCTACCACGAAGCAACGGAGCTTGACACAAGCCATGACTCTCATTCTGCCCACCCCAGAAATCCTTCTCGCAAATATCAACCAAACGCCCTCTGCGACTTGCATACTCCAAGAAAGCCCCGTCTTAGGAGAATGAAGAATGGCATCGGCATTAGAAAACAATATAAAACAGTGTAGAAACAACCACGCCAGACTGGCAGGGTATGCCAAATGTCCAGCAAAGTGTTGCACCTTCCAAATCCAAATCAACGACTCTGCGCCCAGTTGCCCTTGTCTCGACTTCGGCTCCGATCAGCTTGGCCAAGCTTCCTCGGGCTGAGTAAAGCATGTGACCTCTTCAACGGGTGAACAACATCTGACAACACGGTCTCTTGCGTTTGAGACAGCCGAGAAACGCCCACCACTTCAACAGTTGTCAAGTCGTGAACACATCCACACTGGCGTGCAACATGCGCTGACCAAAAAGAAAAGCTCAACAAAAAATAGTTCTGGATTGGTGGGTGGGAGAATTCCAAACCCAAGCAAAACGTGCTCTCGAACGCATCGAATGCATCCAAGCATCTTGGAGCTCTTCGTGGCTCGGCCTTAGGAACTGACAACCCCATCCATCCCACACATTCTAGGCCTTTCAGCCGTGCCATGCTCGACGGACCCAGCGGACCCAGGCGACCCGGCCATTCTTCGGAGCTTCGTCTTCATCCAAAGCCTCGTACAAATCGGAGGCGACGGTTCTGGCGAACAGAATTGGACCCACAGAGGATGTTGTCCAGTTCTTTTTTTTGAGAGGAAGAACAGGAAGGAGCCATCAAAGCTGTGTCATTGGGCCTAAAGCATCAGTGAGACTCATCCATCTGTCTCACCACTGGCCTCCGCTGCACAAGCGCCCTTGGGCTTACTTCGTGGAGCCTCAACGGTGTGAAACCACGTGACGTTTCTTGCAGCAAAGCGCTGAAGCGGCCCGCCTCTTCCACCTCCACCACGCCCTGCAAAGAAATTCCACTCAAGCCAAACATGACTCACTGATGCTAGTCACCTAGTCAATCCACGTCAATCCCCTCCCATGCCACTGTGGCATGTTTTATGGGATGTTCGAACGAGCGAGAGAGAGAGAGAGAGAGAGATGCCTTCTGCATCCCCAATTTTGTCATCCATCCACACAACAAATGCCAACAAAGTTCTTGCGATAGTTTTCTGGCAAGCCTCCTGCATGGTCCGAGGGTCATCATCATCCTGGACTGTTTCGATTTCCACAGCCGCAATGCAAAAGGCTCAAACACTGCAAACGAAGTGGCCAGGTCGTCCACGGGCTCTGGCTCTTTGGCTTTCACGACCTTCTCTTCCTGCAAAAACTTTTTGAGGAGCGCAACGAGATTCGACAAAGCAGTGTGCCAACGGAGAAGCACGTGTGCAAGAGTGCCAGATGATGCGAAAGGCACAAGTTGGAGGTCAACTTATGCTTGGTGCATGGTCCATTGTATGAGCTCTTTCAAAGAAACAGTCACAAAAATTGGACCAATGCATCTTCTGTCTGCTTGGTGTATACGGATTCACCAGGGAAGTGCAGAAATCCGCTCAGCCCAAGCAATGGAAGCCCTATCCGGATGTGTAAATCAATGGAATTTGCTGGTTGCCTCATTGTTGCAGGGCAAGGCCTCGAATCCTCGATTCAAACCACAAGCAAATTCAAAGGGCTGTCACATGAGCCATCTGTCCTTCTTTCGCTTCTTGCTAGCCTTGCTGCAAACACGGAATGCTTCTTCATTAAGCTTTGGATCACCTACTTGGAATTCCAAACTTCTGCTTGCAAAACTCTTAAACACCACGCAACACCCTTCAACCTTTCAGTGCAAACCCTAGCCTTACTTGCCCCTCACTACCAAGAACACGTTACGCTTCCCCATCCGCACCTCTTCGCTTGGCTTGGCTTTGGTCGCCTTGGCCTTGTCGCCCTTGGTCTCCGTCTTCGCTTCGGGAGCCTTTGCCTATGGAAGTTTCCGAGACGGTGTCGCCCGAGCTAAGCCATGAGAATAGTAGAGTCAAAACCGTTTTCTAAATAGAGACCTTAGTAGTCTTGGCCCGCGTTGCTCCTTGCCATCTTGCAAAAGAAAAACACGTTCTTCACAAATTGAACAAAAGCAATGTTCCGATATCAGAAGGCATCAAATAGCCATGTCCTCTACAGTATGCCAAAGCTATGGAAGTAGCCATGCGGTGCACAGAGTTCCAATGCATTGAAGGACATTGAAAGGCCTTGGTGTCCTTCTTCACCACTGGCTTCTCCTTCTCCTTCTCATCCACCTTTGGCTTCACCACCTTCTTCTCGGTTGCCTTCCTGATGAGCTGCAATGGCAGGGGTGCGAGCGCGCAGCATGAGCCAAGGCGACATGTCCGACATGTCATTTCCCGAATTCAGCTAGTAGCAGCTAGGATGCTTCTCGGGCTTCTCATCCTTTTTATCAACCTTGGCAGCTGGCTTCTCTGCCTCTCCAAACAACAAACAACGGAAGCGGCAGGCAACAACACCAATGTAAAGGGGCTGAAGCGCAACCAAGAATGAAGGAGTGAATGAAGGGTGTCCTTCGCAGGTGTCTTTGCTGGTGCTGCCTCTTTTTTCTTTACTTCCTCCAGACAGCTTGGTTTGAGCTCTGTCATATCCCTGCTACTCGCCCCTTCTGCCCAACCCAAAAGGCCAAAAGGAAACGTAAAATCTCAAACGCAGGACCTGAGCCAATCGTGTCCAGCAGTCCTTCTTTTTCACTTCCTTGCTTTGAGACTTTGCAGTCTCACCCATGGCAAAGGCTATCACTTTGCCAGATGTTGGATTTTGTTGTATGCTTGGTGACTGGCTCTTAAGTGACTGTATGGTTCTATCACAGCTTTGTTGTGGGGCTTTCAAGCTTTTTTGCTTTTTTGCATCGAGAATGCAAGGTCTTCATGACGTGACTTGACAATGATGTGAAGTTCTCAAGGGATTCCATGGCAACCCTTGCACTACAATGGCAGCTGCAAGAACCAAAGATCATCAACATCCAAACGAAAGTGGTCTTGGCATGCCAATATTCTTTCGCAAACGGAACAAACTTGGCAGATGAAAGGCTGGCGTTAAGAGCCGCTGATCTGATAAGTCTACTATGGCCCGACGCCCCAAGACAACAGCTAAATCGAAAAATGACTGTCTGCAAAGCCTCTGTTGCAGCTATCATGATCGGGATGATGCCACTGCCACCTGTTAGAGCATGTGATTCGGTGGCAAGCCAGTGAGATAGGTTCCAGATTCCATTGTTGAACTGCTTCTCATGAGTCATCAAATGTGCACATCTCCAGAATCATTCCAATCAAACTCAGTATACATATAATCAATATCAGTATACATACCCTGAGGTTCAAAGACGAAAGCTTATCAAAAACATGACAAACGGATCCAGCAGCACCTCCCACCCCACCCACCAGGCCTCTCTTGTGACCTTCATCCACCACAACAAATCTACGCACATTTCTAAGCACAACTGTTTGGCCCAATGCATCGGGGCAAGCAGTCGTCGTCTGTGACAAAGAGCGTCCCTTTCGCTGATTTTGGTACGTTTCCCATGGTTGCAAGAACAACATTCGAGGTCTGAGACATTACAAACCAAGGCGACCGAGTCAAGTGATTTACAGAACCTCCCATCTTTCTTGTTAGTGTTGATTTCTTGAGCATTACAAAAACTGTGTGTGTGTGTGGGGGCTGATCTTGACCGTTGACAACAACGGCTCCGGCGTCTTGAACGTGCATTCACAGCTTCTTCCGCCTCTGAGCAAACGGTGAAACTACATTTTGGTGCTGTGGACCTGGCTCCGCTTTGAGCTGCAAGGTCGCTTCAATATGTTTTCAACTATAGCTGTTGGGCTCGCCGCCCAATCGGTTCTACGAGCCTGCCGACGTCCAGCAAAAGCCATGTTCGGCCTCTGCCAACGTCAACGGCTTTAAAGTGCCGTGCGGCAATTTGCCTGCACAAAACACATCTAAGGTAACAATAAGTTGCAGTAAGTTGTTCATTAGACTGCATTCATTTGGGTTGCTGAGCCAGTACGCCTGTCATTCTGGCGTATCTGGGCTCAGGGGATGAAGAAGACGTAGACAGGGAAGGGGAAACCATCCAAAGCGTGCCGCTCCCATCGACAGCCTTGCCCAAGAGGCTTACCGGTGCGAGGGTGGATTGGCGCCTGACGTTGATACTCCACACCATCAATGAGAATCGTTCCGGTGCCCCATCCATCAGGTCTGCCATTCTTGAAGGACTCCCTCGGATCCATGCTCCAGGGAGATGTACGAAACACTCGCAGTTGACGAAAAACTCACACATTGGCGCCTGCTTGGTTGCAAAATTCCAAGACAACAAAAGGTTACACATAAATGCCGAAGATTCGGGGGCTGTCCATGCAGTGCTGCCTGTTCGTCACTGAGCTCTGATGACCCAGCATTGTACTTGTCCACCCAATCCTGGAACAGCATTGTAGGCCACTATCCACTCCCACTCTAGACAACCTCCCCTCTCCCTCAAAATTGTTGGCAGGTACCACAGCCTGAAACTTATGACAGGTATTGTGTACCAAATCAGCTGAGATGGCACCAAACAATCGTAATCAACAACGTATCAAAGGTCTGCTATATCTCTAAGAGTCTGGATAATAAATGTTGGAGACTGCACAGCAAATCACCGCCCCTTCAGAATGCTTCTTCTGCACTAGCCGGAGCCATTCACAGCACCAGCCTTTGCAGGACTCACTGGGATGAAGGATGCTGAGTGAGTGATAGTCAAAGCTCAAAGAGAAAAGGATATGATATGTCCTAATGAGTTTACTACTAGAAAACAAAAGCATAGATCCTTGTGCAAAAGACTTTTCAATGTTCATCCAGGGACAAGGGTACTTGGCTTTCACCTTTGGTTCACTATCTCCTTTCTGAGATTCGACCTGTGTGTTCCACATGCCAGAGCGCTCTGCTGGGACAGGAATGTTGTCACGACCACAAGGTTCTGATGGGTGTGTCCACTTACCATCGTCAGCATAAGCACCGAAGACTTCAGTGTCTCCAAACCAAACGGTGGCAGTACCTGGCAGTTTGGATGGGGATGAGAGGTCAGGATCTATCCATTTCCCAAATCATATAATATATGTTAATACTATGCAGTGATTCTATCTTGAATATCTACGCTTGAATCGTGTTTTCGAGTCTGGTGACCTTCTTTTCCCTGCGACTCTGTCAGCTTCTTCATCACTTCTTCATAAGCGGTCCCACCAGGTACTGATGCCCCTGTGGCCAAGAAGAACTGCGTCATACCGTAGAAGCAAGTGGCGCTTTTGTAGAATGTGAAGACTAAACCAGTCCCGGCTTTCTGCTTGCAAATCTGAACGAGCTCTTCATCCTTCTGGAAGTGCTCCATGCAGCCCAGCCTGAGGAGCCATGCTGCGCGTGTTTTCTCCACCAACTCGATGACGAAGTCTCGGTCCTTCCGAAGCTCTTCTGAAGCAAATTGTACGGCACAACCGTGTTGTGAGACAGCTAATAGGACCACGTCCCTATCGTTCCGCAGCTCTCTATCTGCGTGTTCCAAAGCCACACCATTCGATTTTACAGCCATCAATACCACATCCTTATCTCCCTGCATCTCATTGGAAGCAAACTGTAATGCACTACCATTTTGGGCCACAGCCGCCAAGACCACCTCCTTCACTCCTTGCAGATCCTTGCTAGCAAATTTTAAGGCACTACCATTCTGGGTCACAGCCGCCAAGACTACCTCCTTCTCTCCCTGCATCGCTTTGGAAGCAAACTGTAATGCAGTACCATTTTGGGCCACAGCCGCGAAGACTACCTCCTTCACTCCTTGCAGATCCTTGCTAGCAAATGTTAAGGCTGTGCCGTTCTTTGAAACTGCCTTGAGAACAAAGTCCTTTGTCTCACACAGCTCCGAAGCTGCATGTTGCAGTGCAAAAGCGTCCTGGGCCACAGCTGCCAAGACCACATCGTGTTCTTGCTGCAGCTCCTTGGCAGCATGCTTCAGGGCGAGACCATTCTTTGCTATCGCTGCCAAGACCACATCCTTGTCTCCCTGTAGCTTCTCAGAAGCAATCTCAAGGGCTACTAAACCATCCTGTTTGACTGCTGCCAGCAAAACCTCCTTGTCGCCTCGAAGTTCTTCGGCAGCAAACTGTAAGATAGAGGAATCTTTCACCACCAGTTCCGTAACGAAGCTCTTGTTTTTCTTTAGCTCCTCTGCAGCGTGCTGGAAAGCACTTGGATCTTTTTCCACAGCTGCCCTAACCACAGTCTCGTCTCGCCGTAGCTCTTCACAAGCAAACTGCAAGGAGGAGGGATTGTTCTGCACCAAATTCAGAACGAAGGCCTTGTCTTTTGTTAGCTCCTCCGCAGCAAATCTCATGTTGCGAGGTCTTTTCTTAACAGCTGCCAAAACCAGATCCTCATCTCCGCATAGCTCTTGGTCAACATACTCTAGGACGGACGGATCTCGCTCCACCAATTTCTTGATGAAGCCCTTGTCTTTCTGTAGCTTTTTGGAGGCATGCTGCAAGGCTGTCACGTCGGCTTTTATGGCAACCTCAACCACCTCTTCGTCTCCCTGTAGCTCTTCTGCAGCAAGTGACAAGGCACCTCCACAGTTTGTCACAGCTTCAAGGACAATTGGCTTGTCCTTCTTCAGGCTCTGATGCGCATGTCTCAATGCCAAACCATTTTGTCGAACGGCCGTGAGAACCACCTCCTTATCTCCCCGAAAGTCTTTTGTCTTATCGAGTGGATGAAAGGCAAACTGCAGAGCCCTACCATCAAGTTGCACAGCCTCCATAACAAAATCGATGTCTTCGCGCAAAGACTTGGCCGCGTGCTTTAAGGCCTCACCTTTCTCCTTGACAGCTGCCAAAACCACTGCCTTATCTCCCTGTAGCTCTTCGGCAAATTCCAAGACAGATGAATCCTTCGCCACCAGGGTCAGAATGAAATGCTTGTTTTTCCGTAGCTCCTCCGCAGCATACCTTAAAGAACTTGGATCCTTTTCCACTGCCACCCTAACCACACTCTCGTCTCCCTGACGCTCTTTGGCAGCATACTTAAGAGCGGGGGGACATTTTGCCACCGCTTCCAGAATGAAGCCCTCGTCTTTCTGTAGATCTGGCGCATGTTGCAAGGCGCTGCTATCTTTGCTAAGAGCTGTCAGAACAACCTCTGGATTTTGGCGCAGCTGTTTGTTGGCATACTGTAGAGCCGAGCCGTTTTTCCTGACTGCTGCCATCACAATGTCTTTATCTTGCAGCGAGGCTTCGGCATACTGCAAGATTGAGGGTCTTCTCCCCACCACTTGCAGGATGAAGCCTCGATCTTGCTGTAGCTCCAAAGAAGCATGTTGCAAGGCCTTTGGCTCTGCGGTCACAGCAGCAGAAACCACATCTGGGTCTCCACGGCACTCCGTCACAAACTCCAAGGCGAAAGGGGCCAGCTCAACAACTTCCTTGATGAACCTCTTTTTGTTTTGGAGGTCTTCTGCAGCGTACTGCAAGGCACACGGATCATTTCCCACAGCTTCAAGCACAACTTCCTCGTCCTGCTTCAAGGTGTATGACACGTACTGCAACGCTGTGCCTTTCAATTTCACAGCTTCGAGCACAGACTGTTTCCTTCCTTTTACTTTCTCACCAGCATATTGGAATGCGCGTACGTCCTGTGCCAAGGCTTCAAGCACAACATCTCCGTCGCCCCGCAACTCCTCGTCTGCATATTGCAAAGCCAGTCCATTGGTGGCCACGACCTTTCGGACGAATTGTTTGTCTTTTT